GTGGATCCTATTTATCAAGGCAATACTTATGGCGGATCAGGGCATGATTGTAAATACGACTACGGATACGAATCTGCCGAAGCAGAAGATACAGAGGAGGAAACTGGCCAGGTCGAAAAGCATAATACAGCAAATTTTTCACTCGAAAGATGTGAGATCTTCTTCAATTTCTTCACAAATTGACTGTCATCATGCCAAGTCATAGTCATCTAATCTATTGAAAAATCAAGCGTTTAGCCAGTAACTACTTTACAGAATGTTTTGCTTTTCCAGCAAACAATCGCATAGCAAGATCGCTAAATGACTCTCATCCATATTTTGGTTTTCATTACTTCTTGTGACTCTGCTCTTTCCAGGGGACTGACGATCCGAAGCTGAAAAATGTCCGACAAACGGAAATACTCGTAGATCTCAAGGATTCAGTGTTGCAAATATGCCGCTATTTCATCAGCTGTGACGAGAAGATGGAATTGAATATCTCTACAAAGGTATCTTCACGCACCAGTAATCAGTGATATGTAACAAACTGCTAACTAGAGTATACAGAATCAGAATCAAACAAAAATGCTAATTAACCGCTAGCACTTCAGGCGGACTACAGTCCGGAATCGCATGCGCACGACATCGACAATTTCCTTGCCGGTCGTCGTGAAGGCCATAAAAGAGCTAGAGCATTACTAGATTTTGCACGGCAGGACGAGGACGAACTCGGATTCAGGTTTGAGCTTTTGCACTCCAAATGCTGTCCTTCTTTCTATCTCCATTCAGAAAAAATGACATCATAACGATAATATGCGAAAAAGATGAGCACTGTTGGGTCGGTGAGGTCAACGGACTTCGAGGATGGTTTCCAGCAAAATTTGTGGAGGTAATACATTTGTCGGAAAATTAGTGATATCATGTGTAGTTTAGAACTGACTAGCATATTGTTTCTATACATCACTCTTCCCTGGAGCACATTATCACATTTTGGTCATGTTTTTATAGAGGAAGAATAATCCTTTCGAATTTCTAGGTATCTTGGGGTATTGTTAGTCCGTTTTTGAGAGTTAATTCAGAAATTTACAGTGGTGTTCGAATATTGATAGTGACTTTATGTATATCCGTAAAACATGTTTTTAGGTAGTCGACGAGCGAGGCAAAAATTACACTGTCTATGGAGATGAGGCTGTTTCGCCAGAAATCACTGAATACATCCGAGGCAATACATATTTTTGTACCGCGAAAATTATACCACTCGAAGCTTCTTTCTGTTTTCGATTATTCAAGAAACTCTTGTCTGAAAGCGAAAAGCGAACTTTCTAGGTCGTCTAGCTAATAGCTTCCGACAAGTAATGGACCATGGAATTATGGAGAGTGTTTTATATCCATCCACCGCTTACCATCCTTGGTCTTTCATCGGTAAGTTCTATTTCTTCCACACCTTCACCCGGTCACTTCTGCTCCCACCACGTTCACTTGGTCAGTACTTGAGAACGATACATTTACTTGAAACCTTTCAGAAGACATCGCTTATTACTCAGTGGAAAAGCACTTTAACTCTGTATACTCTCGCTTGACGCTATGCAACACTTTCAAACTGGACCAGGATGGCAAAGTACGTTCAGACCAGTTAGATATCGAAACCGGTTCATTGTTATCACTAATTTTCAA